GATCTCTGGCTCTAGATTGCCCCACAAGGGGCAACACCCTCTCTACGACTACTTTGTCAATCTCCTTTAGCATTTATATACCTCAATGAGATCTCCTTTCATTCTTCTAAACTCTAGACAGTATAGGCCGAACCTGCTCAAACTCTTCATAAGACACACTCCGCATTTCTGGAATGAATCTAGCGAACCGCCCCTGAACTGCCTTTGATGCATCTATATCTCTCCTTAAGGCAGGGAGCCAAAATTGTACACAATACTCCAGGTGCAGTGTCACTAATGCCATGTATGATTGCACCAACATTTCCCTACCTTTATACTCTATTCCTTCAGCAATAAATAGCAAAATTCCATTTGCCTTCCTTATTACCTGCTGTACCTGTGATTGATGCACAACCAGATCCCTCTGCACAGGAGCACTCGGAAGGTTTGCTCTGTTCACTTTCCAATCCTCCAACCAAAATGGATAAACCCGCACTTTTTCATGTTAAACTATTTAGATGAAAATTGCCACCATTGTTGCAATATCATGGCTCCCTTATTGGATATTTATCCAATGAATGATTGAAGTGTCAGAATGCCACCAATTCCCATAAGACCACAAGAAATAAGTGTAGGTCATTCAGCCCTTTAAGGTTGCTCTGCCATCCAATAGGATCATGGCTGATCTGATATTCCTCGCGCCCACCTTCCTGCCTTTTCCCTGTCACCCTTGATTCCCCAGCTGATCAAGAATCTGTCTCAGGCCCTAAATGTACACAAGCGCTCTGCCCCCACAGCTCTCTGTGGCAAGGTGTTCCAAAGACTCTCAACCCTACCCTCTGAGAGAAGAAATTCCTCCTCATCTCAGTCTTAAAATGATACTCCTTTATTCTGAGACACTGCTTTTTGTGATGAGGTGAAGAGAGAAATCCATGTGACTTGTAATAAAAACCCAATTTCCCATTAGTTTTGGTGCATATGACCAGGTTACATCCTACTGCGTTCCACAGGGATACATAAAATCCCCAGAAACATAGGGGTACTGGAGAGAGTCAAGCAGCAGTATCAATAAATTTAACACCTTATTTTTAACATTTATTTTACAGTTTGCTTAAAATAGATGCATATTCAAGGCTTTTCTTGTCCACTCCTCAGGACTTGAATGCAAGTAGACTAAATTTAGAATGGGGACAACAAAATTTATGAACTGCCTTTTCATTTTTAAAGTTGTTTTCCTTCCTGATTGATTTCTGAACAAATCTGAGCCTTGAATATTTATAATTTTTTTTAAATTAAGGAATCAAGGGCTTTGCAGAAAAGGCAGGGGGGTTGCAGATTATCAGGCCAGGCACAATCTCATTTTTAGATGGAGCAAACTTGATGGGCTGAATGGCCTACTGCTGCTAGGTCGTATGGTTTTATCTCTGACCTGATGAATAGAAAATAGTTTCATAGAGTCATACAGCATGGAAACAGACCTTTCAGTCCAATTAGTCCATGCCAACAATGTTCCCAAACTAAACTGGACCCGCCTGCCTGCATTTGGCCCATATCCCTCCAAACCTTTTCTATTAATGAACTATTCAAGTTTTTTTAAATGTTGTAACTGTACCTGCATCCACCACTTTTTGTGGCAGTTCATTCCACATGTGAACCACTCTCCGTGTAAAAGACACTCCCTTGTGCGTGTTTTTTAAATTCTTCTCCTCTCATCTTACAAAATATGCCCCCTCATTTTCCATTCCCCCACCCTAGGGCTAAGGCCCTGCCTATTCACCTTATCTATGTGCCTCATGATTTGATAAACCTTTATAAGCTCAACACCTCAACCTCCTACACTCCAGTGAAAAACTTCCCAGCCTCTCTTTATAACTCAAAACTTCCATTCCCAGCAACATCCTGGTAAATCTTTTCTGAACCCTCTCCAATTTAATAATATCCTTCCTATAGTAGGGAAACCCGAACTGGGCACAGTACTCCAGAAAAGGCCTCACCGACATCCTGTACAGAGTCAACATGACACGACAACTCCTGTACTCAAAGGTCTGAAGGCAAGTGTGCTAAATGCCTTCTTAACCACCCTGTCTACATGTAAAGCAAATTTCAAAGAATTATGTACCTGAATCCCTAGGTCTCTCTGATCTACAACATTACCCAGGCCCCTACCATTAATTGCACAAGTCCTGCCTTTGTTTATTTTACCCAAATGCATTACTTTGCATTTATCCAAATTAAACTCCATCTGTCACTCCTCAGCCCATTGACCCAATTGATCAAGATCTCTTTGTAATCTTAGATAACTTTCTTCACTGCCCGCTATACCTCCAATTTTGGTATCATCTGCAAACTTACTAAAAATGTCTCCTAAATACTCAGCCAAATCCTTCATATAAATGACAAACAGATGCAGACACAGCATCGATCCCTGTGGAAAACCACTGGTCACAGGCCTCCAGTCCGAAAAGCAACCCTCCACCATCACCGATAATATGAGATAACAAGGTGTAGAGCTGGATGAACACAGCAGGCCACGCAGCATCAGAGGAGCAGGAAAGCCGACGTTTTGGACCTGGACCCTTCTTCAGAAAACCTTCTGGATACAAAATTGGCTTTACGGTAAGAGACGATTGGCAAGCTCACCCTGAATCCCATGTGATACATCTAATTTATTAATTAGTCTACCATGCGAAAGTTTCTCAAAGGCTTTAATAAAGTCTGTGTAAACAATGTCTACTGCTCTGACCTCAACAATCTATTTGGTTACTTCCTCAAAAAATTCAAACAAGTTTGAGAGACACAATTTTCCCTTGTACAAAACCATGCTGCCTATCCCTAATCAGTCCTTGCCTTTCCAAATGCATGTAAGTCCTATCTTTCAGAATACCCTCCAACAACTTACCCGCCACTGATGTCAGATTCACTGATGTATAGTTCCAGGGCTTCTTCTTACAGCCTTTCTTAAATAAAGGCACAACATTAGCTACACTCAAGTCTTCCAGCACCTTACCCATGGTTATAGATGATACAAACATCTCTGCAAGGAACGTTGCAATTTCTTCCCTAATTTCCAACAACGTCCTGGGGTATACTTGATCAGGTCTTAGAGATCTACGCACCTTTATGTTTTTTTTAAGACCTCCAGCACTTCCTCTTCTGTAACATGAACTGTTTTCAAGACATCAGTGTTGATATCCCTGAGCTCCCTTGCCTCCATGCCTTTCTCCACAGTAAAAACTGATGCAAAGTATTCATTTAGTATCTCTCCCATCTCCTGAGGTTCAACACATAGACAATCTAGTTGCTCTTAACATACTTGTAGAATCTCCTTGGATTCTCCTTAACTTTAACTGCCAAGGCAATCTCATATCCCCTTTCTGCCCTCCTGATTTCCCTCTTAAGAATGCCTCTACACCCCTCATACTCTTCAAGAAATTCATCTGATCCCAGTTGTCTATATCTGAAATATGATTCTCTTATTCCTGACCAGAACCTCAATACCTTTATTCATCCATTGTTCCATACTCCTACCAGTCTTACTCTTCACTCTAACAGGAACATAATGCCTCTGAACTCTCCTTATCACACTGTTGAAAGCTTCCAACTTATGTGTTTTAAGACCTCCAGCACCTCTTAGCCAGTTGTCCCTTTACCTGAATGACACAGTGTCTCTCCTTACCAATGCTTACATTCTGTCCAACCAAGCTATTTATATTGCAAAGACAGAGAGAGATACATGGATCTAGAGAGACAGAGACGGCTTGTCCATTTCAGAAAAAGACTGAACAAATGCTAAAATGTCACCAATAAATTTCAAATTAAATTCTATTCCAGCTGTTGATGTCAAACATTGGAAATTAGTGTGTGTGTGAGAGAGAGTGAGATGGGGGGGTGAGTAATGGTTTTGACTGGGAGAGGTATAACTACTTGTCAGCGGGGAAGGGGGAGGGTTGCCGTTGCATGAGGATTTCTCTGGAACGATTTCCAACAGGGAATAACCTGGACAGTTCGGTTCTCTCGACCCCAGCACATGTTTGTTACAAGGAAGGCGGTAGCGTCAGTTTCAGTCGGGAAACTGACAAAAAAAAAACTTCAGGACTGTAATTCCCATGATCGACCCATCCCTCAGCTCGGGTGGGGGGGGCAAAATACAGGCCTTAATAAATGCCTCATAAGCAACTTGTCACCTTCTGGTTTTGGAGAAAAGTTACAGAGAGAAGGTAAAAGAAGGAGCAAAACTATGAAGACAGCAATTAAAGAGGAAAGGCAAATCTGAGAACCACAGTTTCCCCTCTGCCGGGGGGGTTTAGAGTGTGTGATCTAACACTGCAACCACCTTCCCTCCCCCCGTCAAAACCACCACCAACCCCCAACACCAGCACGACCTTGCAAACTAAAACAGAAACAGCAAAACCCTTTTGTCCAAACACATGTTAAATACCCAGGCGAGGATTTGGCCCCCACACTTAATTATATCAAACGACAAGCAATAAAAAAAACAAAACGGCACAAACTCCACTGAACAAGTGACGGTGCAGAACAATGAGGATTCGCCCCCAATTCCCAATCTGATCTGGTCGTTGTTTTCTTTTTTTTTTAAAGAAAAGGAACTAAACCCGCATCTCAACTGAACTCAAAAGCACATTCGTTGTGTGCACACGTAAAAAAAATAATCGGACTTTAAACAGCACTGCAAGAAGGCGATCTATCCTCACTCCCAATTCGCATCTCCAACACAACAACAATCTGACAGACCCTGATTTATCTCCTACACATCCAGCCAAACCCTCTACACAAACTTTTTTTTAAACAAAAAACAAAGTGGGAGGGGGTGGGGGGTTTTGCTGGAAATTGCCCCTTGCAGTCCAGATGGGTTGTAGGGGACACTTTTTGAGTGTGCTTTTGTCTTACTTTTCTCTAACTCATACACACACACACACACACACATATATATATAGAGTGAACAACACTTTGAACGCCCTGTCTTCATGCTATACAAGAGAGATGATGAACTTGTCCCTTACCATCGGCGCTGTATTGCTGTCGAATTTCCCTGTATTGTCCATCATGCCGGCTCAGAGATAGATACATGAGAGAGAGAGAGAGACACTAGCGCGCACACACACACACACACACCCTTCCAAGAAAAACAACGCGAGCTCCAAGCGCAGGGATGATTACAAGATAAAGTCACCAGTGCCCCTGGCTATAATTAATGGCATTTTCCTCTCGACACTAGTAAATATCAATCCCAGCATGCAACAAGTATGGGGACCGGCGCCTGCGTGGATCTGGGTCAGTTCTTGCAAATGTTAATCCCTGGGAGATGCCAAGTTGCTGTGTTCGCAGGCAGAACCTGCTCTCTCGCTCCTACTGCACTGGGGAGGGCACAGGTCCCGGAGCGCCTCACTGTTTCGTTGCAGGAGGACGTTCTGGGATGCTCAGGGGGTTGGGGGGTGGGATTGGTTACAACTTTCCAACAAAGCCCCAGCAGCTGGAGTAGTCAACATCAAAGTCTTGCCTCTTCTCTCTCTCTCTCTGAGATTGGTGCATTTTGCCTCCTCTTTTCTGTTCCATGTTGCATGCGGGCATCCTCGCTCCCTCCTTCTTTTCCCCTTCTGTTTATCCCTCCCTCTCCTCCTGACCTCCTTCTGTTACATCCCTCACTTCCTCTCCTCCCTTCCCTCCCACTTCCCTGCCTTCCTCTCTCCCACCCTCCTTTGCTTTCCTATCTCCCTCCCGCTTCCAACCTCTCACTCTTCCCCTTCCTTCCCACCCTCTCTCTTTCCTTCCTCTCTCCCTCCCCTCCCATTAATGCCCTTCTTTGCTTCCATTCCATCCTGTCTCCCTTCCCTCCATCTGACCCCTCCTCCCTCCAAATGGTAGGATGCCCCTTGAATCCACCTCACCCCCTCCCCTCATTCCCATCTCCCTCCCCCCCCCTCCCTTTTCCCCCCCCCCCCCCCCCCCTCCCCCCTCCATCCCATTTCCCTCCCTTCTATCTCCCTCCCTGATCCTTCATTCCTTTCCCCCTTCCCTCCATTCCCTTTCCCTTCCCTCCATCTCCTCTCCCTCCCCTGCATCCTTCTCTCCTCCAATCCACTCTGTCTCCACTTTATTCCCTCCTTTACTTTCTCCCTCACACCCTCACTGGAGAAGATCCAATGTACAAGTCACAGTCTCTCTATCGAGGCTATCTGTTCTTGCTGAGTATTTCCAGTCCTTCCATGTAAGAATGAAAGATATAGGAGTAGTATTAGGCCATTCAGCCCATTGAGTCTGCTCCACCATTCGATCATGGCTGTTATGTTTCTCAACCCCAAAGCCAACAGCTTTGATCCCTTTCCTAATCAAGCACCTACCTATTTCTATCTCCAGTGCACTCAATGACTTTGCCTCCACAGCTTTCTGTGGCAATGTGTTCCATTGATTCATCACCTCTGGCTGAAGAAATTCCTCCTCATCTCAGTTCTAAAGGGCTGTCCCTTCAGTCTAAGGTTGTGTCCTCGGGTCCTAGTCTCTCCTACTAGTGGAAGTGTCTTCTCATTGTTCACGTTCCTCATCATATGTTAATTGCCTGCTCCTCTATACTTTCTGTCCCAGAACTGTCATATTACAGCTTCACAGCATCCAGCAGCCAAGGCAAAATAATTGTAAGGATGAATTAACAGTTGGTTGGTTACATTGTTAATTATGGAACTGTAAATTTTGCACTAGATCCCAAATGTAATTGTGCACATTTGAAAACCCAAAGAGTGGGCCTCTCAGATTTTATATTTAGTGTTGATCTCACTCTTTGTGCACCTTCTCTGCAACTGTAAAATTGTACTTCTTGCTTTGTTGTATTACTTAATGCACTTTGTATGGTATGATCTGCCTGTCCTGCATGCAAAACAAAACTTTTCACTGTACCTAGGTACATGTGACAATAATAATAAATCAAATCAAATAAAAAATGTCCCCAAAACCACAGTTTCAGAACAGATTTTAATGCGAATAGGCAACACACTGACTCAAATGTCTTGCTCATATAACTGGTCGAAACCTCAGTTTACCCTGATACATACAGAGGTAATGGGGTAATGTATATCTTTCGTGTAGCAGAGAAATTGTAGTAAGGAATTAAGAATTTCTTAGACCATCAGATTGTAAAAATGTTAGTTGAACTGTGCCCATCTGCATTTGTTCAGGTTTTATTGAAGAGTTAGTTGTTTCTTGTTTGAGGGAGACAGTACAGACCACAGATGCTGAAAGCTAGAGTCAAAAAATGTCGAGCTGGAAAAGCACAGCAGATCAGACTGCATCCGAGGAGCAGGAAAGACATTGTTTTGGGTCAGAACCTTCCTTCAGGCCTGACTTTCCTGCTCCTTGGAAGCTGCCCTGCCTGCTGTGCTTTTCCAGCTCCACATTTTTTGACACTTGATGTATGAGGGGTTTGCTTTCTTCTTGCATTGCCTCTGGGCAACATTCGCCAAACCAAGTGCCTCCAGACAGATTATTTATTTTGTAAGTATGTACTTATTGAGCTGCATCGCTCGACTTTCAAACTCTCCCTGTCTCACTTTTTCTGCCAACCTTTCCCAGATTTCCAGCATTCACGTTTCCTCTTTTCATCTCTCCTTGGGATGCAATGAAGAGGCAGTTCCAAGGGTTTCTGTGGAGCAGATGCTGCAGACCCAGGTCCTGGGGCAGTCTGAAGGATTCTATTTGCCAGTCTGCCTGGTCTATAAGAGTGAGGAAGTCTTACTTCAACTGTACAAGGTGCTGGTGAGACCACATCTGGAGCACCGTGAGCAGTTTTGTTTCCTTATTTAAAGACAGATATGATTTCATTGGAGACAGTTCAAAAAAATATTTACTCAGGTAATCCTTGATATGGAGGAATTGTCTTATGAGTAAAGGCTAAATAGGTTGGGACTATGCTCACTGGAGTTTAGAAGAATGAACGGTGATCTCATTGAAACCTGTCGAATTCCTATGTAGCTCAACAGCGTAAATGCTGAGAGGATGTCTCCCTCATAGGAGAATCTAGGACCAGAGGGCATAGTCTCAGAATAAAGGGGCACCAATTTCAGACTGAGGTGAGGAGGAATTTATTCCCTCAGAGGGTTGTGAGTCTTTGGAACTCCTTGCCACAGAGAGCTGTGGAGAGAGAGTCCCTGAGTTAATTTAAGGCTGAGATAGATAGGTTCTAGATGATGGGGGGGAAATGCTGGTGGGGAGAGGAGTACCGTCTCAGGATAAGGAGCCGATTATTTTGCGCTGAAATGGGGAGAAATTCTGTCACTCAAAGCATTGTGAATCTTCGGAGCTGTTGTTATCAGTGCTCCCCCATTGAGTGTGTTTACATCTCTCTCAAAGAAAATCAACATGGGAAGCAGCCAGGGCAGTAGAGATGAAGCTGTCTCTCTCTCTCTCACACACTCACTCACTCACACACACCCACCACCCACACACTCACACCCACCCACCTACACACTCACACACCTCCCCACACACCGACACACCCCACACACACACAGACCCACCCACACACTCACACCCA